TATGGGACTAATTTACCATCTGTGATACTATTTTAATGAGATTAAGATTGGGATACAAATATTACTGGCAGATAAGGGGAGGGGCGGGTCAACTGTGTCATCTTAGAGATGTATGTTCCAGGCCCTTAACCATTGACTCTTGATTAGTTAATAAAACTAGAATTTGTAAAAGTTCATTGGGTTTTAGTAGCGAAACCCAAGTAGTCCTTTCTTCATTTATTTAGGGAAATATATTATAAACAGTTCCAAGTGTATATCACCCTAACTTAACCACTATAGCTATGAGTATTAAATGAGGATGGAGGCTATCTTAGAGTAGCTCTACTAAATACGTCCTATCGATGTGAGAGTTTTAGTGATAATGCCCGCTTGCCGGCTTCTTCATAGCTGACTTAATATCTTAGAGCCCCCCCTCAAGGGTGGAACTTCCCCATCACTTGATGTAACCATGTCACCTCATAGCTAGTGGAAAGTTACAGGGGTTGATATGATTATATAAACTTAATGTACTACCCCACATTTATATAAAGATTAAGGGACTAATATATCGCTCGGTCACCACCTTCCGAGCGTCTACGAGGAATAAACTAGTCTCGCAGAATACACCCTATACATAAACCAAACCATGTTACAAACATATGTGTAGACACTAAACTGGGGACTCTGGAACCTGAGTTTCACTAATTACTGGGGTCCTAGACTTAAGAATCTTACTCTTAAGTATATTATTTACAAAGGCCAACTTGGAAGATATTGTCTTAAAGTAACAAAATAAAAATATCACTGCCAGAATTAACTCAACAGTGGAAATGGTTAAACTTGGTTTAGCAAATCTCTGTGCAAAATAAAATGGCAAGTGATACTCTAAATTAGCAAACTGACTCTTCCAAATAAGAAATAACTTTTAACTTCTGAGACAATATTGAGTTTACTAATAGTTACATTAGGAACTTATTACAATGGAATTAAATCTGAAGTAAGATTTAAATTCAGTGCAAAATTGCTGATGAGAAGGCAAGGTCTTCAACAAACTATAGGTTATTTCACAGTAATCTGGAGCCTTATAATAACCTTTCACAACTAACTGTTTACCACCATCTTGGCACCTTAAAATGACGTTAGTCTCATCAGGAAAGAAAAAATACTGCACATTACGTAGATGCGCATGAAACACAGTTTTTTCTAGAAATCGGTGTATAACTACATTATGTTAACGCTGTGCGTACGTTAGTTTGTATGACTGCCAATTCACGTATCCCTTCCGCAGCAGGTATAAATGCGAATACATAGGCTGGACATACGTGTAAATGTAAATATGACGATTTACACCGTGATTGTACCTAGGATCATCCAATGCTAACAAAGAAAAATCTTCTTATATTAGCAAAATTTATTTTGGGCTATCTTGAATAAACACTGTGTCATTAAAACACAAAGGGAAGGGTTCTAAATGCCATGCATTAAATTTGCGTTGCCCTATCATAGGTATGTGGATGAGAACAGCGTCTTGAGCTTTGAATCCAATCGTCTTAACCTTGCATCCATGATGCTTGCGATTAGTTCCTTTTTGTTATTAATTACAGCTTGGACTGAACTTTCTGCAGCATGCAAGTCCTCAGAAAAATAAATGAGCCACTCCAACGTAGGGTCTGAATTCATTAAATTATAAACAACCCTAGCTAAATGGTTAGACTCAGAAATAATCGCATTAACTTTTGATCCCAAGGCATTAATTGCTTGAAAGGTTTGAGTTAAAACGCGATTTTGTTTAAGAACGGCTTGGTCGACAATGTTCATGAGGTCTTCTAGTTTAACTACATCCTCGGCAGTCGCAGTACCAAATAGAGTGCTTTGTATAAGACCAACTAAATTAAACAATCCTCGCTTTTTTCGCGTTTGGAAACGCACTTTCTTTGCAAGATCATCCTGAGATGCTGGAATAGAGTGTCCAACTGCGATGATAATTTTGTGAAGGGTTCTGAGACGAAGTAGCTGAATATTAACAGTTTGTGATACCATTGTAAAACTGTTAGGATTCTTACTGGGATCATCAAGGACGTTCATAGCTGTCTGCAGTTGGGTTTCAATGGACTCCCTCTGGCGTGGAAGCTTGAGCAGTCCGTGCAACTCATACTTTATGTTCGCCACGTCTTCAACATTGAGAACGTGTCCTAGGGGTGCGGCGAGCTCACCTGGCTTGAGGACTTCCGTGGACATATCCGTCAACACAGAGGTGCCACAAAGGAGTAGGAGCATTACAATTATGATCCAAGCCATTCTGTAAAAGTTCAATGTATTAAATATTGTTTTGCAGAACGAAATTTTAAACGATAATCATTAGTTACACTTGGTGTGTGTACTGTTTGAAAAGATGTGTTTATGACATCATTACCATTCTTGGGTAATAAATTTGGATGGCTTTTTTTAAGTCGGTCCACATGCACTACATCTGCAGTTTGTGCATTTGGTTTCCAAATTTTTAATTTGTTGCTCGCTTGTTTGGCGATAATGCGGAATGGACCATCAAATTTGACCGAAAGTTTAGATATTCTTTCAGATTCTCGCATCATAACAGCATCGCCTATTTCTAGCATGACAAGCTTAGCTTGTTTATGTTGCTTACAAATCATATTAGCGCGTGACGCTATTAAATGTTTACGCACTTGGCCGTGAATGTCTGTGAAAACGCTGACCTGTTTTGTCACGAAATCATCCACATTATAGACAGGGCATGGCTTGTCTATATGTACGTCATAAGGCAGACGTTTGTCTATGCCATAAACAATATAATAGGGTGACTTGCCTGTAGAGCTATTGATCGACCCATTAATAGATACGGCAACTTGCGGTAACCAATCCTCCCATGTGTGTTGCATTTGACACACTATTGGACGAAGAATATCTAGGATCTTGCGATTGGTTCTCTCAACAAGGCCATTAGCCTGTCGATGGTAGGCTGTCATAAAACTTTGTTGCATTCCATATTGTATACAAATTTGTGTTACTACCTGATTCTTGAACTCTAATCCGTTGTCGGAGAGAAGAACCTTGGGAGTAGTAAAAGGACATATTAGAGACATAACTAAGGCATAAGCCACAAATTTGGGTCTTTTATCCTTCAGTGGGACTAAAACCACAAATCTAGATCGCGACTGTGTCAAACGGACGTTCTGGTGTGGGATATTATAGAATTGGAGCCAGTGACCTAGTTGTGCCCTTATGTTGAGCACTTGACAAACACTTAGTAATGTGCAATTCTATGTCTTTTTTTTTTCATAGTATTCCAAAAATATTTCTTTCTGATTTCCACAAGGCATTTGTCACGTCCTTGGTGACCTGCTTGAGGAACATCGTGGAACAATGTTATAATCGTTTCACACAACGTATCAGGTACGACGATTTGTGTAACAATACTCTCAGTTGTCTTTTTGAAGCGATGGAGTATATTATGTCGCAATTCAAACTGACTGAGCGGAAGAGTTAACTTTTAGAAGATTAACTTCCTCCCCCGACTCTAGAGCAAAAATGGCTGCAGACCACAATGGATCGCGTCGTTGTTCAGTCTCTAATTGTGAAAGTGTGAACGTAGATACAAGCATCACTGGTGCTATGTTTCTTGACAAGGCGTCGGCGACCACATTCGCTCTTCTCGGTAAATACTTGAACTTGGGGTTGAATTCTTGAATGGTAAAATACCAGCGTGCTAATCTGCCTGAAAGATTTTTGCTGTGGAACAGCTCTGTTACTGCAGCGTGATTTGTAAAAACAGTTATTTTATAAAAAAAAATTATGTCCTTAAACTTCTTTAGTGCCCAAACACACGATAAGATGCAGTTTCAAAATATTTGTACAAAGGTTCTGAAGATCCCATCAACCCCACAGGATGTGAGGAGCCTGGGACAAAAGCAAGGGGATAAGCCTCGCCCCCTCAGGATCACTCTAGTGAGCGAGGAGGAAAAATGGCGGGTTATTCGGCAGGCAAAAAACTTAGCAAGAAGCGAGGCATCTCGGAGTGTATTCATTCACCCAGATCGCACGGTAATGCAGAGGGAACAGCACAAGAAGCTCCTGCAGGACTTGAAGCAGAAGAGGGAGGAGTCAAGGAGGAACGGGGACGGGTGTACATGGGTTATATTCAGGGGGAGGGTAGTGGAAACAAGTGTGCCGACACAGGGCCAGGGGGCAGCAGCGCACCCTCCACCCGCATTACCCCCCCCCCACCCCCCCACCCAGGAGGTGGCACCAGCTCCGCCTACCAGACAGGAGGAGGCGAGAGCCGTGTAAACAATGACATTTCTCACCACACCCTGCAAAATACAGTGTACTTAGCAAATGCTGCAGCTTCTGAGAATGGGGGGTTACTAGTAAGAGCAGAGACGTTACCGAGAACAATTTCTGGCTTGAATGTCATGTACACTAATACTGACACATTCCTTGATAAGAGAGAGGAGTTTGAAACACTACTGAAAGTACACCAGCCAGATATTTTAGGAGTTGTAGAACTATTGTACAAGAACAGGGGAATCGACTCATTTACGAACCTTTCCCAAGAAACTTGCAAGAGGGGTGTGGTTTTCTATGCTAGGCAAGACCTTAGAGCCAGCCAGGCGAGGGTATAGGTGTCATGATCGTAATGACGACTAGCCTGTTAAAACCTAATAATTCATATTACGCTATACGCCCACAAAACCTTCTGAGTCTCCCAGTGGAAACGTCCTCCGTTTTCTCTGTATCCTTGACGACGTCATCCAGATGCCGTATTTTGGTGGAACGAGATTCGTAAACTCTTTTGCATCTACAAAGACCTGTAAACCCTTTTTCACCTATGAATATGAGAGACCCTGATACTCATAGTGAAATTGTTGTAAGGATGTTAACTAAGGAATTAGTTAATTTACCTGAAAGGAACCGTTAAACCTACTTGTTTGTGAATGTAATCAGACGCTACTTGCTTAGGCTCCGCCCACGGGGATTGCCATCCAGAACCTTTTGTGATCAATTTGATTCTTGCCTTTGAAAGCTCAGTCAGAGCATAGTTTGTGAAGAGAATATTAGGGAATGAAACTGAGTTCGTAGTCTCAGTTTCAAACGTCAGAGTGGACAGTAACGTAATACAGTGATAGTGAGTAGGTGGCATCCGAACCTGGCGGGCAGTGGAGAGAGTGAGCTGGGCAGTTTTCGTAAGCACATCCTCATCACCCCACAGGTATGTGTCCACTTTCTCCGAGTTGTAACTCGCCGCCATTTTAAGTGATTTGACCTAATTAATAGTTTGATTATGCAAGTGTTACAGTAATGTAGCTGATGTGCTTTGAGTAAAGTATTTTTACGCCCTTAACGTCCTTTTGAAACGTTGATGTTCGCTTTCAACCTTTAGTAAGCTCATCCTCATCACCCCACAGGGTCCTGTCGGAGTCTAAGCCTGTCTGTACTTTTACTTTTATCCTCTTCGCCACTGATCGGCTCGTTAGCCGCTTGGGCGATCGGTCACGACTCTTTTCCTTTATATTCTTCACCAAAAGGTCGGCTCGCTAGCCGCCCGGGCGATCGGTCACGTCTCTGTCACGCACTGTTGGCAAATACTGGGCATGCACCGGCTCCTGAATGTACCTGAACCCGCTCCAGTGTTGGTCAAGTCTTCTCTTGAAAGAGCTCACACTCGGTGCCGTCACAACACTTTCTGGTAGATTGTTCCAAGAGTTTACAACCCTCACTCCGAAAAAGTTTGCCCTCACGGTTTTCCGGACTTGCGGCTTCTTCAATCTTGAGCTGTGACCCCTTGTGGGGCGAGCGTCCGCCAGCTCCAAGTAAGGACACTCAACTGAGTAGTGCCCCCTGAGATGCTATAAACCTCAACTAGGTCCCCCCTTGCCCGTCTGTAGTATAAGCTAGGCAAGTTCAGGCGCTCCAATCTCGCAGGGTAGCTGAGATGCCGAAGTGCAGGCACCAGCTTGGTGGCCCTCCTTTGAACATTTTCAACCAACTGACAGTCCCTAGCATATCTCGGGGACCAGATGGGGTGACAGTACTCCAGATGGGGAAGCACTTCACTCCTGAAGATCGTCACGAGGGACGGACCGTCTAGATATCTGAACGACCTTCTTATAAGACCCAATAATTTATTTGCCTGATTTACCTTCTTCTCACAATGGCCCGAGAACTTCAGCTCATTGTCAACATACACACCTAGGTCCTTCTCACACACAGTCTCAACTAGTACATTTTCTTCATCCCGTTGGGACATATGGTACGCCTCCTTACCGTTGGTACGCCCCAGGTGCATCCTCTTACACTTCGTGACATTGAATCTCAGCAGCCATTCCTTCGACCATTCCTGGAGCCCACAGAGGTCCTTCTGCAGCTCTTCACAGTCCGCTTGGTTCTTAATTTCCCGAAATAACTTGGCGTCATCGGCAAACATTTGTATGGAGGAGTGTACAACGTCAGGCATATCATTTATGAAACAAACAAACAACAGCGGGCCCAATACACTACCCTGCGGTACCCCACTTGTTACAGGTACAGATGACGATTTCGTGCCATTAATCACCACACATTGCTTGCGGTCATGTAGAAAGTCTTCTATCCACGCTAGGACATTTCCCCGAATTCCGTACCCTTCCAGTTTGATTTTCAGCCTTTCGTGGGGTACACTGTCGAAAGCCTTGGCAAAATCTAGGTAAATATTGTCGATATTACCACCCCGTTCTAGAATATGGGTCCAAATATCCAATACCTTGAGCAATTGTGTCAAGCAAGAGCGCCCCGGCATAAAACCGTGTTGGCAATCTTTTACAAGGTTGTTTCGTAGTAGATGTTCCATCGCTGCATCTCTGATAATACTCTCAAGTACTTTACATATTATGCTGGTCAGGCTCACCGGTCTATAGTTGTTCGTGGAGTGCCTATCGCCCTTCTTGAAGATAGGACTCACATAAGCCACTTTCCATTCACTGGGGACCATTTGTTCATCCAGGCATTTACAAAACAGAATCTTCAGGGGCTCTGCAAGCTCGTTGCACAGCTCCCTTAGCACTCTAGGATGCACCATGTCAGGTCCAGGACTCTTATGGACCTTTAGCCTGGACAGTTTATTTCTAATACCCTCTTCTGTGAACACAATGTGGGTCAGTGCTGTGTCGAACCGTCTGTCCTCAAACGCAGGAAGGTTAGTTGCATCCTCTCTTGTGAACACTGAGGAAAAGAAGCTGTTCAATGCCTCAGCTTTATCCTGGTCAGAATCTGCGTAACTACCATCTTCAAGCCTCAGGTCTGATACTCCTACTCGCGTTTTCAATTTCGACTTTGCATAGCGGTAAAACGCCTTTGGGTTTGACTTGACCTCGCGTGCAACCAGCCTTTGGAACTCCTTTTCAGCCCTCCTACACTCTATCTTTGCTTGGTTTCTGGCTCTTGCATACATCCTCCTGTCTTGCTCATCGTTTGACCCAACCCACGTCTTGAATTTCTGGGTTTTCTTCTTAATTTTGTCGACCGCCGCATGGTTCATGTGTAGGGATCCCCTCGTATTCCTAGAAGCACTGGGTTTGGTCTTGGGTATATATTTATCGATCAAATGGGTCATTTTACTAGTTATGATATTCAGCGTAGTGTCTGCGTTCTTGTACCTTAATAAGTCAGGCCAGTTGATACCCCTCATCTCTTCCCTCATCCCATTGTAATTTCCCTTGTAATATTTGCACCTTGGCCTGGCCTTATCTTGAACTAGGTAACAGTTAAATCTGAATGACAACACTGTATGGTGACTGGTGCCAACTGGGGCAAGGTGTTCCAGTTTGGCCACCATACCCTCCTCGTTTGTTATGATGAGGTCAAGTGGCTTGGGTGTTTGTTCCCCTCTGTAATGTGTCGGGTCTCTCACATGTTGGAACAGAAAATTATCTCTCAGAGTTTCTACAAAAAGAGTAGCAGGATTATTCAAGTCATTCGGGGTTGACTCGTTTCTCCAGTCGATGTCGCCATAGTTAAAGTCCCCCATGATAAGGAGGTGGCTGGGGTTGAGCATCGCCGCATTGTTTATTAAGGTTCTTAAGTTCCTTTGATTTAGTGGGCCACAGTTCGGGGATCTGTAGATACACCCGACGATAAGTAAGTCCCCTCCCTTTAATTTAATTTTACACCACTTGGACTCTTCAAAGACATCCTCTCCCTGTACCCTCGCCTGGCTGGCTCTAAGGTCTTGCCTAGCGTAGATAACCACACCCCTCCTGCAGGATTCTTGAGTTAGGTTCGTAAATGAGTCATATCCAGCAATACTGAACTCACATTCCTCTGGGTCGATTCTCCTGTTCTTGTACAACAGTTCTACAACTCCTACAATATCTGGTTGGTGTACTCTTAGTAGTGTTTCAAACTCCTCCCTCTTATCAAGGAACGTGTCGGTATTAGTGTACATGACATTCAAGCCAGAATTTGTTCTCGGTAACGTCTCTGCTCTTAGTAATAAACCCGCTCCACCCACATTCTCAGAAGCTGCAGCATTTGCTAAGTACACTGTATTTTGCAGGGGGACGCCTCCACTGGTTTGGGAGATGTATGAAGACCATTAGAATCGGGTAACTCCGTGAATCCCGAGCGTCAGGAATCCACTACCACCCATGGGCCCCATAGCTGGCCAGCCTTCACCTGATGCATTCACTGCCCACGTGGTGACCAAGGAATATCAGGCCCCCCAAACAACAGCCAGCCCCCATCATTGGTGGATGAGTCCATGACTCAGTAGGGCTAATTGGTGGTTGTGTTATTCCACTGGAATTATCTGAGTTTGTTGGATGGTGCCACGTGGTGAGGAAACTACCATGGCTGCCGCTTGAGTATTACTTCTGGTGCTGTTGAGTGTTATGTCTGATGCTGCTTAAGCAGTCAAGTGTCGTAACTGGCGTCATTGCCACGGGTTTTAATGGTGCTAAGGTGCTGAGAGAGAGTTTAGGTGTGTTATTGTGTATGTACAGTACACCCAGTCGTGGTGTAAGTAGAAATTGGGCCTAAGGGCCTCAGTACAAAGTGAGTTCCTATTTGCTCATGAAACCTAACGTCATTTAATAACCATTTTGTGTTTTTAATAAACCATTTTATTTGTATGTTGGGTCTATTATTCACCTGCAGTTGTTCACCGTTATTCCTTCCTATTACTTGATACCATAATTACATGTACCCATGGGCCTAACCCACGAGTCACACTACCACAGGTCAGAGGTTGAAGTATTTAAGTTAAAGTAATGTAGATAAGAGTCCACTCTCTTATATAGGGAGAGGATGTTTTTGAAGAGTCCAAGTGGTGTAAAATTAAATTAAAGGGAGGGAATTTACTTATCGTCGGGTGTATCTATAGATCCCCAAACTGTGACCCACTAAATCAAAGGAGCTTAAAAGCCTTAATAGACAACGCGGCGATGCTCAACCCCAGCCACCTCCTTATCACGGGGGACTTTAACTATGGCGACATCGACTGGAGAAACGAGTTCACCCCAAATGACTTGAATAGCCCTGCTGCTCTTTTTGTAGAAACTCTGAGAGATAATTTTCTGTTCCAACATGTTAGAGACCCGACACATTACAGAGGGGAGCAAACACCCAAGCCACTTGACCTCATCATAAAAAATGAGGAGGGTATGGTGGCCAAACTGGAACACCTTGCCACAGTTGGCATCAGTCACCATATAGTGTTGTCATTCAGATTTAACTGTTACTTAGTTCAGGATAAGGCCAAGCCAAGGTGCAAATATTACAAGGGAAATTACAACGGGGTGAGGGAAGAGATGAGAGGTATCAACTGGCCTACCTCATTGGGGCACAGGAACGGAGACACTACGCTGAATATCATAACAAGTAAAGTGACCCATTTGATCGATAAATATGTACCCAAGACCAAATCCAGTGCCTCTAGGAATACGAGGGGATCCCTACACATGAACCACGCGGGGGTCGACAGAGGTAAGAAGAAAACCCAGAAATTCAAGACGTGGGTTGGGTCAAACAAGGAGCAGGACAAGAGTATGTATGCAAGAGCCAGCAACCAAGGAAAGATAGGGTGTAGAAGGGCTGAAAAGGAGTTCCAGAGGCTGGTTGCAAGCGAGGTCAAGTCAAACCCAATGGCGTTTTACTGCTATGCAAAGTCGAAATTAAAAACGCGAGTAGGAGTATCAGACCTGAGGCTTGAAGATGGTAGTTACGCAAATTCTGACCAGGATAAAGCTGAGGCATTGGACAGCTTCTTTTCCTCGGTGTTCACAAGAGAGGATGCAATTAACCTTCCTGCGTTTGAGGACAGACGGCTCGACACAGCACTGACCCACATTGTGTTCACAGAAGAGGGCCGTGACATGGTGTATCCTAAAGTGCTAAGAGAGTTGTACAACGAACTTGCCGAGCCCCTGAAGATCCTGTTTTGGAAAGTGGCTTATGTGAGTCCTATCTTCAAGAAGGGCGATCGTCACTCCACGAACAACTATAGACCGGTGAGCCTGACCAGCGTAATATGTAAAGTACTTGAGAGTATTATCAGCGATGCCGCAATGGAACATCTACTACGAAACAACCTTGTAAAGGAATGCCAACACAGTTTTATGCCGGGGCACTCCTGCTTAACACAATTGCTCAAGATATTGGATATTTGGACCCAGATTCTGGAACGGAGTGGTAATATCAACAATATTTACCTAGATTTTTCCAAGGCTTTCGACAGTGTACCCCACGAATAGCTGAAAATCAAACTGGAAGGGTACGGAATTCGGGGAAATGTCCTAGCGTGGATAGAAGACTTTCTACATGACCGCAAGCACTGTGTGGTGATTAATGGCACGAAATCATCATCCGTACCTGTCACAAGTCGGATACCACAGGGCAGTGTAATGGGCCCGCTGTTGTTTGTTTGTTACATAAAGGACATGCCTGACGTTGTACACTCCCCCATACAAATGTTTGCCGATGACGCCAAGTTGTTTCGGGAAATGAAGAACCAAGAGGACTGTTACGTTGGTTAATTCCCCATTTAACCAGGTTGGAACACATAATATATATATTGGGTTTTTAGTAACAAAACCCAATTGAAGTTTCTTGTTTTATTACAAAAGGATTATGTCTATAATTCCTGAGTGTAGATCAACTGTAAGTTCCACTATTTATGAGTGAATGAAATAGAGGACGGCGTTTATATATATAAACGTGAATCAACGTCCGTTCAATAAACCTTGGTGTGAGTGACTGACTAAGGCATCGCTCTAGTGCGCCCTTACATAAATGCTGACATATGGGCTTCTCCCTCTTGGGAAAGTTACCCTTCACGTGATCAGCTCATTTCTTACTCATGGTTAGTGGAAAGTTACAGGTGGAGAATCTGAATATAAATCAGATGTAAGAACCCATTTATATAATACGTTCTGTTGATGAGACAGGGGCCATTACATCGCTCGGTCACCTATAGCCAAGCTCCGTGAGGCCTAAATAAGCTCACAGAATACACTACATCCTAGACAACCCTAGCCATGTTATAAACAGAGGTGTAGACACTAAGCTGGGGATTCTACTACTGTAGGGGTATTAGCTACTACAGGGGACCTAAACTTTAGTGTCTTATGGGTTAGAATGTTATGAACAACGTTCATCTTGGATGACACTGACTTATAATAACAGAACAGAAACATGATTGCCAAAATTAACATAATTTAGGGAATTGTGAGGCTTGGTATAGCAAATTCCCGTGATAGATAAAATGTCAAATTATTACTCAAATCAGCAAATTGTGTCTCTTTCAAGAAAGCTATGACTTTTAATTTCTCTGAAACAATTTGAATATCTTTCATAGTGAAATTCATGACAGGAAGTGGAATTAAGGCAGACTTGAGTTTTATATTTAAGGCAAAGTGCTGATGAGTAGGCAAGGTCCGTAATGTACCACCAGTGATTTCACAGTAATCCGGAGCCTTGTAATGCCCTTTCACAACTAGCTGCTTAACACCATCATGGCATTTTAAAATAACAGTAGTAGTATTTGTTAAGAACAAGTACTGCACATTGTGAAGATGAGCGTGAAACACAGTTTTGAGACTAACTGGCCTATAGCTGCATTGCGCAAGTGCTGTGCATACATTGGTTTGTATGACTGCCAATTCACATATTCCCTCTGCAGCAGGAATAAACGCGAACATGTAGGCTGCACATACGTGTAGGTGTAGATATGACGACTTATACCGTGACAGTACCTTAGGATCCTCTATTGCCAATAAAGAATAATCTTCATCCATTAGGAAAAGTTCTTTAGGCCTATCCAGCGTATACAAACCAGGAGAAGGGTTCTAAATGCCATGCATTAAACTGATGTTGCCCTCGCAAAGGAATGTGGATGAGGATAGCATTGTGCGTGAGAGTCGACTCCAAAAGCGGGTAATAATATTCAACCTCATTGTCATTAAAAATAGGAGTTAAGTTATACTGCAACTTGGCTATCTGTGAAGCGTCAAGAAGCGTCTGCACAGGCACAAGCTTTGCGTCCACACGTCCTATCCCTGCATCTACAATGCTGTCAATTAGTTGATTTTCACAGGTTACAATCTTCTGAACTGAAATTTCCGCAGTATGCAAATATTTTGTGAAATAAAGGAGCCATTCTAACGTCGGGATTGATTTCTGTAACCTACTAACAATCCTCGATACTTGGTTAGACTCCGTTATTATTGCATTAACCTTTGATTCTAAAGCAGTAATCGCATGAAAGGTTTGAGAAACAACACGATACTGCCGAGACACAGCTTGAACGACAATGTTCATTCGGTCCCCCTGCCTGTGGGACATCATGGAACAATGTTATAATCGCTTTACACAACGTGTCAGGTACGGATATTTGAGAAACATTACCCTCTGGCGTCTTTTTTGACCTATGGAGTATGTTATGTCGTAATTCAAACTGACTTAAGGGAAGAATTAATTTGGGGAGCTTAACATCCTCTCCTGATTCGAGAGCAAAAATGACTGCTGACCATAATGGGTCGCGTCGTTGCTCATCTTCCAGTTGCGAAAGAGTGAAGGTTGATACAGGCATTACTGGTGCTATATTTCTTGACAGAGCGTCGGCGACAATATTCGCCCTCCCAGGTAAATACCTAAACGCGGGGTCAAACTCTTGAATTGTCAGATACCAGCGTACTAATCTGCCTGATAAGTTTCTGCCATGGAACAGCTCAGTTACTGTCGCATGATCAGTAAAAACAGTTATCTTATATCCAAAGATAATGTCTTTAAATTTCTTAAGTGCCCACACAACGGCTAACGTTTCTAAATGCGTTACCGAATAACGTGTTTCAGCATCAATAAGCTTGCGACTTGCAAAAGCTATCACTCTAAACTTTCTACGCGGATCCTCTTGCATGAGCACGGCTCCGATTCCAAGACCAGAAGCGTCAGTACAGAGAGTGAAAGGTTGAGTGTAGTCAGGGAATGCTAGAACAGGGGCATTAGTAAGCGCTATCTTCAATGCCGCAAAACTATTTTCGTGTTCAGCATCCCATATAAACATTGCATCTTTCTTGAGCAACCTTGTTAGGGGCGATGCTAATGTTGCATAGTTCTTGATAAAAGAACGATAATATCCAGATAAGCCAAGAAAACTACGCACATGATCAACTGAAGTAGGACGCGGGAACTTAAATACAGCATTGATTTTATCATCTACTGTGTGGATGCCCTCACCGTCAACTACATGACCAAGGAAATGGATTCTGGATTTTAAAAACTCACACTTCGAGAGTTTAATTTTAAGGCCTGCTGTGGAAAGTTTGTCCAACACTTCATGCAGTATAATCAGATGGGAATCAACGTCCTTACTGACTACTATTAGATCATCCAAATAAGCGCAGACTGTGGTACCAATCAACCCGGCAAACAGGGTGTTGATCATTCTTTGAAATGTTAGTAAGGCATTTCTGAGACCAAATGGCATTCGGAGGAACTCAAAGTGGCCCAGGGGCTTGCTTAACGCCGTGACCTCTCGTGATTTCTCATCGAGTGGTATCTGTAAAGGCCTGGGAATTAGGGATAGAAATCCCTTACCAGACTAATCAGGTTCTTAATAAAGGAAAGTCAAGGA